GACAGATCTAGAGGAGATCTGTGTGGAGGAGTGGGCCAAAATCCCTGTTGCAGTGTGTGCAAACCTGGTCAAGAACTACAGGAAACGTTTGACTTCTGTAATTGCAAACAAAGGTTTCTGTACCAAATATTAACACTGATTTTCTCAGGTGTTTGAATACTTAAGTTCAGCAGTGCAAGACAAATAAATTCTTTAAAAATCATACAATGTGATTTCCTGAATTTTTTTTTAATGCTGTCTCTCAGAGTGGGAATGCACCTACAATGTGAATTTCAGACTCCTCCATGATTTCTAAGTGGGAGAACTTGCAAAATCGCAGGGTGTTCAAATACTTCTGTTCCTCACTGTAGCTCTTCTTCTTGTGCTTTCTTCATGTTCATGTTAATTATTCAAAATGTCACAGTAGGGTGACAAGTACTCAACTGAGCGCATTATTACTTTTTATGTAATAAATGCACATTTTAAAATAATTATCTGTAACAGACAACATGCACACTCAGTATAAATGTGGACTACTAAACCACCCTCACTCCAGGGCCACCTTAACAATTAAAATTCCCTATGGGAAGAATTTTTTTGTGATCATGGCATATTTTCAATTATTGTCATGGTATACTTTTTTGTGGGTAGAAATATATCTGTAGAAAATGAGAGAATCCAGGTAATAATTTGTGAGACTTTTGTGTTAATCTCAAGCCATTCACTTTCTTAGGGTCAGTTGTGTAGGGGGAAGGGAACACCATCATTTATCACATGATGCGTTTTTTTGAAAACAAACAGTAGGAGTAACTAAAATCTGAAATTTTCAATTTCTACAATTTTTGTATGGGTGACATATCCACACATACTGACCCTTTGTGACAGCTGTCTGTGTGACTGCACACAGCCCTTAAACAGCTCAGCACCAACAGTTGTAGTCCTCGATAACTGTCTACACTCAACACTCAACCCAGCAGTGTTTGTGTGTAGAGTGTAAGTAATGCTGTATTGATTGAGCTGGAAATAGATCTGTGTTATAGCTGTATCTTGATTCATATTGGTTAGCCTATAAAATGTTCACATGATGTCACTTATAACTTTGGCCATTAGAACAGATATACTGCAGACATTAGACGATACCAAAGTGGTTCCTTCTTCTTGCTTTCTTTTCTGCCAGTGTGCAGCCACATCTGAAGAAGTGCTTTGAAGGCATCGGTAGTGTGGTGTTCACTGATGTGCTGGACATCACCCACATAAAGAGCAGTGAGGGGGAAGTGGTACAGCTGCTGGATAACATTTCCATCTCCAGAGCCAGGGGCCAGGTGGAGAAGTGGCTACTGGAACTAGAGAATGGCATGACTACCTCACTACACAAGGTGGTGTTTGGATTGTTATTGGGCTTTGTTGGCTTTTTTTTTTTAGCTCTTCACAGCAAATGTATACATACTACCAAATGTTTAATTCAGTCACTCATTTACTGAGGTTGTGCTGTGTGTCTCACAGGTCTACTGGACGAAGTATATCCATGAAGCCATTAAATCAGGACAGAGGGTAATGAACAATTTATTGTGTTTGTTTATATGCATTATTCGTTCCGAATTACATCTTATATACAGTATGAAGTGTTTGGGCAAGGCTTGTTTCAAATGTAAGATAGTTATATTATATTGTTGCCTGGGATCATTCATACAGAACTTCCAGCTTGCCTCAGTTGCCTCTACATACAGTACTGTCATTACATTCAAGTCACAGGGCTAACCATCTGTTTATATGCAAGATAAATCTGACTGTCTTTGAAAAACTCGTAAGATGACTTCACAACAGCTACTGCTTTTTTGAAGGTATTTCAGGCATCTTCAAATACTCTTCTAATAATCTGGATAGGTAGATAGCCCATCCACTGAACAAACAGTTTTTATCAGTTTGTTACAAATCATGGTTAAATTATCTTTTTTAATTTGCAACAGACTTTATAGTCTAGAGGTTGACTTAATCCGCACACTTTATGCAGTTAAGAATCAACCATGTTTTGCTGAAAAATTTTTTTGTATCAAAGTTGTAACTTTGTCAATACATGTGCACTTTAGAATCTCAAACAAGGTTCCCAAGATGAGGCCAACACTGTCTGATTATTCTTTGACAAACAGATTACCAATGAAAATTGGGGGAGCTAATATAGAACGAGTACATGAAATTAAATTTCTAGGTGTCATAGTTGATGACAAATTCTCCTGGAAATCTCATATCAGATATGTTCAGCACAAAATAGCAAAAAATATATCGATATTGGCAAGGGTTAGATATATTTTGGATGGGAAAGCACTACGCATTTTGTATTCTTCATTGATTTTACCATACTTAGAGTATGGCGTTGAAAACTGGGGAAATACATACAAAAGCTCACTTCAACCATTGTATATATTACAAAAAAGAGCAATAAGAATTGTGCATAAGATGGGGTATAGGGATCACACCAATGGAGCTTTCATACAGTCTAAATTGTTAAAATTTTTTGATTTAGTGGGATATAAGACTGCAGTGTTTATGTATAAAGCCAGGAACAATGTATTACCTGGTGGAATTCAAAAACTATTTAATGAAAGGGAAGGGGGATACAATTTAAGGGGTCAGTTAAATTTAAAAATTAATGCTGTACGTACAACCAAAAAAAAGATTTTGTATTTC